GCTGACCACATGGAGAGAGAAGGATCACTGCCCCTGTGGGATCATGTTGAGATCATAGATAGGGAACACCATTGGAAAATTCATAAACTTAAGGAATCAGCACATATCCTAGGCCACAAAAATCTCCTGAGCCGACCAACATAGAAATAAACACAATATGGGGAACCAGTAATAAGTAGTGCCAGAGAAAAGCAATGATAACAAAGTTGCAATATGAGCTCTGGTAAAAACATGCAATGATAACAGCAAAATTGCAATATGAGTACTTGTAAAAAATTGGTTGCTGAAAACATTAGGTTTATAATACCCAGAAATTCATACCTCAAGGACACATGGCACAGAGGATAAAGGCGTTGGTTAGATCCAGTGACAGACCCAAAGAGTGTGAGTTCAATACTAGTTAAGGCAGTGGAGAACTTTCAGAGGGAAAATTAGCAGGAGATAACTGATAACTGACATCCATCAAACATGATGTAGAACAGTCTACCCCAGTGATAAATAAAGGGTTCAGTTCGAAATTCCAACCACCTTAAGTGGTGACAAAGTTGAGGACATTAATAAAAAAAAGGAACACATTTTCTTCATATGCAAGCCTACCTGAGAACACACTAGGATTTCTCAAATATGCTGAGTCTCCCATGAGCTATAATACACACTGTTTAATAAATAAAAATTGGGGTGTCTATTTCAAATACAAAGTATTCACTATAATAACATATGACAAGCACTTATAATTTAGCAAGGAATATTTACAAAAGAATGTGTATGTAATTGATTTATACATTATCTATTTATGAAAAACTAGGTAATCCGTATGGGTAAACCTAAGGAGGATAAAATCCAGAGAGCTCAATGTAAATCCAGAGCAAATGATTTAAATAAAAACAGACCACTTTAAGGTTCCAATTATAATTGTAATAAATTATTTCACCACAGCCCAAAAATGTGTCAATATCTGCTAACTCACTCACTCATGTCTTCTCCCACCTCACTTCCTCAATTTACATATGTTTAATACGGCCCGTCAAAAATGTGTAAATTTTCTTTTCATTTTTTGTTAGGAAGTAAAGTCTGATGATCCGCAGTCCTTTTAAAAGGGCTGTGGGGAAATAATTTATTACATGGAACCTTAAAATGGTCCGTTTTTATTTAAATCATTATATATATATATATATGATTAATACAAATATAAAATTTGTTACTTATCTTATTAATGTATTTTTCAGCATCTCATCTCTAAGAGTTTCATAGACTGAAACTCCAGAAAATTGCCCCACCCACTCGTCAGGAGATATCAGCAATTGACTGTTTATTTTCTTGTTTCTAGTTACTTTTATAATGAGTTAAGGCTAGGATTGGAGTTTCATGTCTTGAATGGCAACCTTCCTAGAGATATCTTGATAAAAACACTTGATCTACTTGCACTACTGTGAGTGTCTATGTTGGGTGTAAGGAAGACCATCTTGCCTTGAAGATGCCTGAAATAAATATGATAATCTTCTGTCAGACAGGACTCCTCTTTCTTTGTGGAAGATTAATCCTGGTTCTGCTTAATAAAAAAAAACACATAGCTATGTATGTGAATAACTTATTTTTATATTTTTTTGCAATATCACCAGTTAAGCAACATTGAACCTGGTCAGTACCTATATAGGTAATCACTTGGAAATATCAGGTGCTGTAAGCTTGGATGTGCTTGGAATGCAATGGATAATGTCTTGGAGTTGAAGATCAAAAAGCTGAGTTCCACTTCTTCCTGGGTTCTTTACATTCACTTATGAGCAAATGCCCTTGGGGTGGTATGAATCCATCTCTTCTCCCCACAACTATGGGTTAATTAGTAGGACTTGTATCAGTAAATCATTATTGACCCCAAAAAATTCTTACATTCTAAAAATATTTTCTGGCTTTAAATAGCCTACAGAGAGTTGATAAGCTAAAACACAAATCAATCAACATAGGCCAATAACCCTCCTGTTTGTGTTAACTTTTATGGTATGTCTATGGCAATCATATATATATATATATATATATATATATATATATATTTAATTTTTGGATCATCGGGGTACTAGTGTAACAAACAGGTGGTTAGGGTTTTATAATCTACCCAATGACCAGGTTATAAGAAATAGTGACATCTTGTGGATTTTTTGAGGGTGGGAGATAAGAGTGGTCTTATATACATTATGTGTACCCCCATAACTCAGAAATTGAAAGGACCACTCCAATAAACCAGGAATTTGGTTTCATAGGCCATTACTTCTGATTAGCAGGTTCAGATTTCATTCACTGCCCCTATATGTATTGGTTTGTGTCAAAATTAAGTTATCAACAAATATCAATCATATTTTAGGTGAATCTGTTCTTGGGGTTTCCAACCTCAGAGCTGAAACCTTCCACTGCATTAAAACAAAAGTGAAGGGCTGTAGATTGCACTGATATCTTTGTAGTACACATCATAGTGGCTGGGCAATTAGTCACTGAAGGGACATGACATATAAAAATAGGGATATGAAAATTGTTTAGGACGCTAAACTGAGAGGTACTATAGCGGGGAGTTATAATTCTGAGTAAATAATTATAAAATGCCAAACATTTATAGATACAAAAATACTTGTCAAATAAGAAACAGCAAGACATGGAACCAACAAGACAAGTAATATTTATTATCTGTGGTGTTGGAGAAATGATAGACATTAATACTGAGTAAAATTGTGAGTTTGAAATCAAATATGAATTGGAATCTAATAGTAGGATAAGATGAATAAAGCAAAGTGTTTATAGTCTTTCTCGTGTGTGTTTTTTTTTTTTTTTTATAGATATGTGTAATTATAATAATTTAGATAATTTAGTTAGAAAATATAAGAAGTATCTGGGTTTTTGTTACCTCAAATTTTTGAGGAGCGTTAACAGAAATGTTACTATATGGCCTGAAAAAGGAAAAGGAGATTAACTTTTCACTGATGCACGTGTTAGTTAACGACTTGTGGGAACTGCTTGTCTAATAGTGAGAATGTCACATGTTTGTGTGCCTAGAATACTCAAATATTTTTCTTTAAAATTAATTGCAACTGAAATGTACGTAGAATATAAAGTATGGGTTTTTCCATAAAAAAAAAGCAAAGAGAAAAATCAATATCCCTTCCAAGAAATAGAACTCAAGATATACCTTACCAAAATAGAAACTTTGATATAGAATTAGATTGAAAGCACTAATGTCATATACCCTAAAATCCATCATAAAAATTCAGGATGTAGAACTCGTAAACCAAACTTTGGTGTATGGCTAAGTTATAACAAATTTAGTATATGAGAAAAGGAAAGTGAACATAGAATAGGCTGTGCCAGAAGTAGTTTTTTCCCCAACACCATAAATTGTTGGAATCTTTCTAATTTTTTTTTTTTCAGCAGAGATGCATTGGCGATTAAATCTTTAAATGTAAAAATCTGTGACTTTTTGAGTAAAATTTAGTTGTGAAAATATTGGTGTTTATTACAAAAAGAATAACATTTTCTTAGAATTTTTTTTAAATAATAAAAAAAAAAATTATTCATCAGAAAAGTAAATAAGGAATATGGACTGAAATTTTCATACACAGAAACTGGATAATTCCCTGATTTTTGGTAATTTAAAAAAAAAAAAAAGCGCTGACCCCGCCCACAATTTCCCTTCGTGTGTTTACATACCCCAAGTTGGGAAACTTTGAAATCGACAGGGGACCGTATCAAAGTTTCATGAGGGAGGCGGGATCGATACCCTAGCGCCGGCTATGCAAAAACATCGACACGTAATACGTTGTTTGACGAAGCCAAGTTAGGGTATTAAAATTTCCAGTTCCTTTAAATATCATGGGACCGGGAAAATGCGAAAATGTATTTTTCTTTTATTATTCATTATTCTTATTTTATTGATTATTTAATTTTCCCACAAGTTCATTTTTCTTTTTTTTACTTCAAGAAGTATAATCGTTAACGGCTGATAAATAAATGCAATGTGAAGTGTGTTACTGCTGTTGCCATATACTATAGTCATTTAATTTGTTAACTAATACACCAGTGCTATTGTTAACATAGGAATTTTTAAAAAAAGAATGGAAAGAAAAGCTGTAGTGTAAAGATGCGGTTGTTATTTGCAATAAATTCATATGCATTTTGGCATCAAATTCCGAACGAAAAGAGTTATCGAAAAAGTAGATAATTACTTTCAGTAAAAGTTGGTAGAAAAAAAAAGGGTTAAACTAAACACTCCCGGTTAACGATGAAAAGGAATAATACAGTAAAAAAACACAATGACTTTTTCCTTTTTTTACAATGATGTTCAAGGCCCAAGAGTCACTCGATGTAGAAGGTTAAAGAAGATGCACAGTTTATGTTGGGAAGATAACAGTTGAGTTGACACTTAGACGTAAAATGGTTAATTTAATCTTATAATGATCGGGGAAGCATCTTCTTGGGAGTCAGTTCCACAAAGCAGTGGTATGTGGAAGAAGCTGCTCGAGTGATGTCATATTGAAAACGACGACCCAACCAGGATGGAGCTCAGGAGTGGAAAATTAAAATAGGAATCGCGAGAAAAAAAAAAAACCCAAAAAAAACAGAAAGTAAAAGTAAATTAAAAAGTAAAACTGTAACCATTCAGGTGTGATCTACTTCATAAAAAAAAACTATTCTTTTTCTCTATGGAACCATATCAGAAGTCTATTTTTTTTTTAAGCCCTCTTCTTTCAGTCCTGAGCTGAAGTCACTTTTTTTTTTTTTTCAAACAAAAACGATTTTAAAGTTCCTCCAAACAAAATTACATATACAATTTTTTATATATTTCTTGTAATCAATGAAAATAAAAACTAAAAAGAAAAACAACAGAAAAATTGTTATTTTGTTGAAATGTTATTCGAAATCATGGAGCATGCAAAAGTAGGAATCCTGTTTTCATCCTGTTTCAATTTCACTAAAAAGACAAAAATTAATTAATTACACTAATTAAAAAATATAATTACCTGATCAAAACGTGGTCCATTTAAATGGAACGGAGGGTACTCCTTTGCCATATTCTTGTTCTCGTCGTAGAGTTTTGTTCCATAAAAAAAATCTAGGGTAAAAAAAAAAATATTGGTCAAATCAATGCCTCCGAAATTGTCGTAGCGTAACTTTTTTCCCCCCGCACACCAACAACACACGCCACAAGAAACACGACCTGAGCCGGTGCCGTCAAATAATGTAAATTAGAGTTATCTGCCCTTGACTTTTTTTTTTCAATTTGTTAACCCTTCGTTATTTCATTCTCTGGAATAATTTCGGACAGAAATGCTTGTACGTAACATTTTTATTATTTGTGTTATAGTTAACACACTGTAAAATTCACCAAAAATTCGTTCATCACATCGTTTAAAATAAATCCTAGATTTCTCTTTATAACTAAAAAGTTGACAAACACCTGAATGTAAAAAGAAAGTACACACGGCATATCGAAAAAGCAGGACGAAACAAACCCCACAAAATATTTTCAAATAAAATAACCTACAATTCTTTCATTAATGAATAAATACTGAAAATTTCGTTTCAATCGGATAATCCCCTGATTTTTGGCTAATATTTTAAAACAGGGATAACACTAACAGTTTGGGTTATTGCAGTATTTGCACGATAAGCAGCAAAGGCCACGGTAATGAAAATGTTCCATTATGGTGTGAAATTGCCTGATTATTTCGAAAATGACATTAAAAGTTTACGCTCTATTACCGTTTAAGAGTTATAGAAAATGTAAGTTCGACTTCTTTCGTGTTGCGTCGACAGAACGGACTTCATTACTGGCTTTGTTTACAATACATTCGTTTACATCGAGCAATCATGCACGAAAGCTTCACTTGTTTTGATTACTGCGCAGTGCCCGAATTTTAAAATGAGTGCACGAAATTTTAAAAGCAACACAACAGAAAAAGCTTCACAATTTCAAATATAAAAATGAAGAGAACGAAAAATAAAATCAAAATTACTTGCCTGAAAGGATAAAAAATGAATTTCTTCCTTTTTTGCTACGATTTTTTTAAAAATTGTGTCGTGAATGTTTCCTTTAAAATCCGACAATTAAAATAAAATAAAAATTACGTGCCTAAGATAACAAAAAAAAATGATGGTTTCTTTTTTTTTTCAACGATGTTTTTTAAAATACGACAATTATTTGACTTTTGTAAGAATTTCCAAAAAACAATGTTTTTCTGTATAACAAATTTAAACCAATTTAATAAAAAAATTATTAATAAAGCTTTAGTTTACTTCTACAAAGAAATAAAACTTTTAATTAGAAAAAAGGAATTTAGAGACCAATCAAAAAAAAACTATTCATTTAAAGCTTCATTTAAAAAATTAAAAAATAAGAAAGCGCATTTTAAAATAACTTTCGCGAAAATTGCGCAGTAAAACGAGTAAGAAGATACGAAAAGCAGTAAAAAGGCCGTTAACTAAATAAGCTTCCGAGCATTATTACTCAAGGCAAACGTATGTAAACAACGCCAGTCATGGTGGTCGGAAACGCGAAATTTTTATTGTAATTTTCGAAATAATAAGGCAATTTTAGACTTTAATAAAACATTTTCATTACCATGGGCTTTTGCTGCTTATATTGCAAATTAACCGTTTTTTTTTTTTGTTTGTTTTTTTTTTTTTTGCTTTCATTTCAGAAAAAAAATGCATTCGTTTTGAAAATGACAGTTACCCGGACTGACAAAAATAAAATCATACATTTTTTTTCTAGCAGAATCATAGGACATTGCTTTGTATGTGTTTACCTTTAGTTTTCTTTTAAAATATGGTGGATTCAGGAGTGGTTCGATATCACGGGATTCGTGCAATACACCAGGCAGTACAGTACACTCACCTAGCCAGTGGGGATGGGTTTAAGGTTGGAAAAAATGTTTGTGGTTAACAGAAAAAGAAAAACAAACAAGACGATTCAACATTTATTTATTACACACTACTCATTAGCAGTTGATAGGTAAAGAATAGTACGTCTGCTGTTAAATGAGCCGCCGAGTGACTGTCATTTGTGGTAAACTTGTAGGAATTTATAGCCTTGAAGAATTATAATTGCCGCGAGCGAATTAATTGTTTTAATAATAACATCGAGGAAACTTGGTAGTGTCGAGGAAAAATTCCTTGGGTCACTGTTTGAATAAAAAAATAATGAGAGAAAAGAAAGTTGCATGTTCAAATAAAATGATATATATTTAAAAAACGTAGGACATATAAATTTTAACTGTATTTACTTATGAAATGAAATTTAAAAAGTTCTTCACTTTGACTGTAAGGACATGAACATGAATCGTTCAGATAGTCAAACAGAGTTGTGCGAGTCTATCAATCACGAACATACATACATACAATTACAAATCACATACAACGCCAAGCATTCATTGGTTAATTAATCACCACTACGTTATTATAGACAATTTACAAATCGCAGCAATGCGACAATTTTGTAATCGCTCTATTTTCATGTAGTCAGTTTTGTGCACTCTGGGGAGAACGGATCACAAAAGCTTTCTTAAGTCTCCCCAAAACACGCTGCCTAATTGGTCTATGCCAACCAATCAGATTGTCTGCATGTGAAGAATAATTCTTCCCGTGCAGCGATCTGGAGCCTATAGTTACTTATTTAAGCAAGAATTTTTCTTAGCTAATTAGTGAGAATTCAGCTGCTAAACGAATCTAACCTTCTCACTCACACACACCACTCACATGCTGAACATACCTTGTATATACTCCATAATATTTTCTAATACGGCAAATCTTTTAAGAACAGTCATTATAAGAGACTCCCATGAACATTATTCCAGTGAACTTTGAAATACTAAAATAACAGTTGTACAACTCTTGTTTATTTCAACCTTTTCTTATTTAAATGCATGCTTTCTTTCACATCGTTGTTTGATATTGTACATCTTGTTAAATATTGTATTTATGTATGTCTTTTGCTTAATGTTGTGGAGTGATTTCACAGTGGAGGCTTGTATTTGTACTAAGTCGGTCCTAAAATAGGTTCGACGTACAAAACGTTAGGAACTTGATATAATAGGTATAACGCAGAGTAATCTTGTTGTAGTCGCTGATACTTTAGTATTCGACTCACGGTCGTCCAGCATTGACTGACTGAGCGACTCCCTGACGTTACTCTTACTACTCCTACTTATTATAGGTGGGAGAGTCTATTAACTATTGAATAGGTGTGTACCACTATGGCACACCCCCCTAAAACTTTACTCCGTAGGAGTAAACAGTTTTCTTTATTTATTTTTTACAGGAAATATGAAGAAAACACAACAACAAAACAAAAAAAAACTTCATTTTTTTTAGCAACATCGTAGCGTATCTCCTACGTTTTTGATCCATTTTTAAATGATCAGTTGCCTTTCTTTTTCTCCTGGATCGGCGTACCTCACGTAAAATTGTTGCAGGCGTTGTTAGATCAAATGTATTGAAAATCACCTCCCTTGGCGTTTCTTCCGCGGGACCGCTGTCAACCACGTCTGAAAAACGTCGTCTGATCTGGTTACTGCACGTGAATTTTTCGCCTTTCACCAAGTACATCATATTGCCAATCCGCTTTTCTATTTTTTGGGACCTCCATAGTGTTACCAGAAACAACCATCCGCTTTGAGCTTCTTAAGGATGAAGTCACAGTTTCTGTAGATTCTTCTTGTGGTTCTATTTGTTCAGCCTCTAGCTTCCCTTTTGTTGATCTTGTGCTTCTTAACGTTTTCTGTAGTGACTTCAGTTGACTTAAATCATTTAATAATACTACATGTCCTTGGCTGCGGGTAACTCGCTCCCCAGTTTTTCTCGGTGTCGGCTTCATCATTACTTTCTGGAGCTTTTTTTTTCACATATATCGTCGGTGTTACCCACTCAACTTTTTAAAATACACCGGTTTTCTCTAATCTGTCCAATTCTTTATCTGTCTGTTCAATTGAAGCAAACAACACATTTCTTTTCTTTTTGAATACCGCCTGAGCGTTTTCTTTTGGCTGGAATTTTGCCTCCATCTTGGTACACGTTCCCAAACCTGGAGAAAAAACAGTAGGAAATGTTTCCTTAAGTTTCTATACTAATTTTGGGGCTTCTGAGTTTAAACTTTCAATCTTGTAACAGAATTTATCGGTAGATCCCATAATTGGAATTCTGTTATCCAATTCGTACCAAGTAAGTTCGTGGTATTTTCTATGACAAATAGTTTAGCTTTTCGCGTTTTTTATTTAACGTGACGTTTGTAACAAATTCGCCAATAGTATTTTTCTCCCGTCACTGACCTCGCGATTTTGTCTTCATTAAAGTTGGTTTCCCTAACTTCTTCCACGTATGCAAATTTATGATAGATAGGTCGGAACCAGTGTCGAGTTGCATTTTTATTTTTTTATTACTTATTTCAACAGTAACAAATTTTCTGGTTATTCCGTCGTTCACCCCGTTGGACTTTAATTTTCTTATTTTATTGTCTTTATTTTTTGACGTGCAGTGCGAGCTTTTATGACCCACTCTTTTACAGTTGAAACATTTTTTATTCCTAAAATTGCAATATCTGTACCAGTGAAGTTCACCGCAAGCAAAACCTGGCTTCGGAAGTTTTTGTTTATTTTTCTCTGGTATTTCACTTTTTGTTTGATAATCCGCAATTTTAGAATTCTTTTTGGAAGACTGACTTTCTTCTTTGTAGCGTATTTTCCTTACATGCGAAACGCCAGACTGTTCTATCTTTTTCGAATCTTTCTTTACGCTAACATATCGTGTGCAGTCTTCTTCTGTACCGTAATCCTTGGCTCGTATTCCAATTTTGCCAGTACTAATTTTCTCAACTCTGCGTCTCTTTCCGATACCAGCGCCTGAACAAACACCAAGCACTTAAAATTGTCAGCGCTTAACTCTGCTAGCTTGAATTCTTCACAATGCTTGTTCACATTGGCTGCATACGTTATATAGTCTTGTTCGTCATCTTTCATCAGATTCAAACATCTTGTGAAACAAAAATGTCTTTTTACTAAATAATTCACTTAATATA